GCTCCAATACTTTGACAATTGACACGAAGAGCAGACTCAATGGAAAAGACCATGATGCTGAGAAAGACTGACAGCAGGAGGAGGAGGGGGCAACAGACGATGAGATGGTTGGATGACCTCACAGACTCAATGGACATGAGTTTTAGCAAGCTCTGGGAGTTACTGAAGGACAGGGAAGCCTGGCCTGCTGCAGTCCACGGGGTCGCAAAGAGTCAAACAAGACTTAGTGACAGAACAACAAGAAGATTTTGAATGCCCTGCTCTCTGGCTTGCCTAGTTTTGCCCCACACTTGGTGTGTGCTTCCTGATCAGCACACTACCTGTTGACTCCCCCAGCTTCTTTACGAAGGACTCAGCGCCTCACTTCCTTCAAGCCTTAGCTCCAAGGTAACCTTCCACTGGGACTTTCTCTATTCCTGTGATAGAAAGTTGCACCCCAGCCTCTGGCACTTTCTAGTTCTCTCCCCTGCATAATGTTTATCCAACACCTTCTAATACAGTTTGGTATATTAATTTTTTTATTGCTTGTCCCATCCACCAAAATGCATGATCCTTGCAGAATTTTTGTGTATTTTCTCCCTACATACAGTATTCCCAGCACCTAAAATAAGAAACTCTTGATAAGTATTTGTTGTGCAAATGAGTGAATGGATGTGCAAATGGATGTTTTCTGCTTAGTCATTGGCTGATGTTGTCTTCTATTCACTGGAGATGTGTCAGTGCCCTTCTCACATGTGGCCACCCTCTCTGCCTCTTTTTGGATCCAGCTTCCCCAGCTGATTGTCTGATTGGACTGGTTTTTTGGATTGAGTTTTTTCCCAGGTCATTTTGAATGAGTGTGCGTTGACTGTTTACCGGTCAGGTACCCTCCCAGGGGTAATCCACAGTGATTCAGGGATTATAGGGCAGGAAAGAGTGCTGCCTGGGGCCACCCCTTCAGCAGGGCCTGTGGGTGGAGCAGTTTCTCCAAGAAGCCTATTTTGGTGCAGTGAGTGTTCAGCAAATTACCTGACTCAGCTGAGCTTCAGTGTAGGTCTGCCTTATCTCAGGGCGTTCTTCAGGAGTTCCAGAGAATGATGTTTGGGAAACATATGCACATAAAATACTAGCTTATAGTGAAGCAAAATGAATGTGAGAAGTTATATAATTTTAGGGGAGAATTATATATTTATAATTAAGTTGTAGGGGAGAAATTAGGAATTTAGGAACAAGTTGCTTAAAGTGCTTTGGGGATCCTCCCTGCCCCCAGACTCCTGAATGCCTTTCAAATGTTATTCTTATTTCACATTATTCTCTGTTTGGCAGAGGATCCTGATAGGTAACTTCCAAAGTTATATTTAAGATGAATACATGCAAAAGTGAACACTCAGTCTCCAAAAACAAATCGCACAAATTCAGTTTGGAGGAGTATGCTTAAACAGGTATGTATGTGTTGAAGTCCTAGAAAAAGTTTGAGTTTTTGTTTTTAGTTGGCAAAAAAGAACACGATATTTATGAATAGTGCAGGTTGGTAGAAAAATATAAATGTGGTATCAGGCTGAATTTTGAAACATCACCATAAGAATGCATAAAATTGTATTTCTCTCTTTTCTCTTTATACCTGGAAGGCTGGACTCAGTTCTAGATGCCGCATTTTAAGAGGCACTAGGGTATGTTTAGAGGTGAGTGTGTGGAGGAGATGCATAGGGCCTGTGCGTGGAGGCTGTGTGAGGAGGCACACACCCTGTCTGCTGACTTAGGTGGTGTAAAAGGCTATGTATGGAAGGGGAATTGGACTCTTCTGTACTCAGTACATCTAAGTACTATATTAACATTCACTGGATGCTTTAATTCAATTGTATTCCTATTAGTGCTAATGATTTAACATATTATTTTCCTCTTTTAAGTCAAGCAAACTAATACTTGGAGCTATTTTTGTGCTTGTCCAAGGTCATATAGACAGAAGTTATAGAACTAAGACCTGACCACACTACTTTGGTGTTTAAATCCAATGGTGTTCTCTACTAACACCATTGTTACCTACCAAGTTTACAGGGAGACACATTTCAGTGCAAAGTAGGGACTAGGAGGGCTGTTCAAAGATGAACACTATGTGAGAGAGGAATGGTTCCCTATCACTCAGAGCTCAAGCATATGCTGGACAGCTGCTTTGCAAGGATCTGGCTGTCCCTTCACTTTATAGATATATAAAGAAGGATATGTTTACCTTATTAACAAAATACTAAAAATGAATAGAGCCGAAGGAACTCCAGAGGTGAGTTCCAGTGGATTTAAGTGATTGAGCTATGTCCAATCCGCTGTCATTGGAAAATACAGCACCCAAACATCAGCATTTATAGTCTGATGTGTTTCCTGTTGGAATAGTTGTCCTTTATCTAATAACTGGGTCCTCACTGTTGTGGAACTAGTGGGTATGGAAAGAGGAAGGGCAGGGCTGTTCGGTGAGTTACTATAATAGATTGTTCGGCATGATCTTGCTTTATTAAAACAAGCAAAGAATGTGATGGTAGGAGGAGAGGGTTTAAAATGATAAACTGAGAATGCCATATGGTAAAGGAAAGAATATTGTGGAAGGCTAAGTAAGGAAGGCAGGGACTGTGGATTGCACTGTATTTCCCTCTTGTTGAGTAGATGCTCAACATGTATTTATTGGAATGAATAGTACATCAGTACTTGAACAAATGTTTAAAGAGAACCTTCCTAGTGCTGAGTATTGCGCTTTGTCCAAGAGCCAAAAATGAACTAGACAAAAATCTCTACCCTTTTAAGGAATTCCCAGTCTAGTAAGAAAAGACCACCAATCAAAGCAGTAGGAAAAAAGAAAGCGCTAAGGATTATTGTAGAGAATAGATCAAAATTTCCATGAAAGCAGAAAGGAAAGAGTAATTCAGTGTAAGTGTGTCGGGTGAGGATGTGGTTGTGGAAAAAGGACAGGATGTCAGGGAAGATTCTAAGAGGAAAAGATGCACTATCTTTGTTATCTTGAAGGACAGTAGACCCTCACCTGGTTAAATGAGGGATGAATTTCAGATGGAGAAAAGCATACAAAGGCACAGAACATGCGATGTAATGGGAATTAAAGCTGGAAAAGGTCTGGGGATCAGATCATAAATGACCTTGGATATCACGGTAATTGCTTGAACCTGATTATCCACATGAAAAGCCTTTGAAAGACTTTAAAGTGGGAAGTTCTGTGTTTTTGAAGCATTCCTAGTAGTTGTTAGGAACAGAAGCAGAAACAAAGTTAACAAGACTTGACCTAAAGGGTGGCAAAGAGGCTAAAGTCATGGAGACAGATTATCAGTCACAAAAGTAAGAGGAAATATTAATCCTTGGGACTTTCAATGAGAGAACTTTAGTAGAGAGATTTAGTTGCCTAGTTGTTGGAATGGTAATTTTTTTTTTTTTCCAGTGGAATTAGGTGATACTGAAGTGAGTGGCACAGTGAGTAATAAGTAAGGCCTGAGACTGGGACCACACGGCTGCCTGGAGCTTGTATTAGCTGATGACTCTTTTGAACTGAATTCAGGAAATGACATAAAAACAATTTGCGCAAGAAAACTGGAAGAACAAGGACTCTGAAGTCATTACATTTGGAGAAAAATAACTAGGGGTGGTGAAGATGGGCAAGCAGCCATTATCAGAGGGTCATTTGTGGATAAATTCTGGACTGCCCAATGGAAAGCTCCCCAAAGAAAACCAAATGCCCTGAATCCAGCCCTTTCTCACTACAACCCATTCCCCTCCAACTCCCTTATCCTGCAGCTACATCACACACCTCTGTGTGGGAGAGTCGTCTCCTGGCAGTGGGTACTTGGAGCTAAAGGAATCCCAACAAATCTAGGATGACAGTGTCAGAATTCTGAAAATCTTGGATACCATATACATATTTCCGTATGAGGGCAGAGACAACAAATGATTTGCGAGGCGTCAAGTGGCCGTGGGGGTGTCCTTCCTTAAGCACAGGCTTCCCGACCCTAGGCCCAATCCTCCTTCCACCACCCCACGGTGCCTGTGGGCTCGGGAGGCGGGAGCTCCGCGCCTGGTAAGGATCACCGGGTGGGCCTGGTGGCGTCGGAGGCCCCTCCTCGCCCGGCCCCCAGCCCCCAGCCCCCAGCCCCGGCGGGAGTCCCAGCCCCGCCCCCTTCCCGTGCCGGGCGGGGTCGCCGCGCCGCCGCTACCCGGGCGCGCGCTGTTCAGCGCGGACTCGGGTCGGGCCGAGGGTTCCGGGAGGGCTCGCCAGGCCGCCCGCGCCGCAGCCCGTGGCCTGACGCACGGAGGGGCCGGGACGCAATTTGCCACGGGTGACCGGAGCCACCGCCGCCCGGGTCCGCTCCGCCCCCAGCCCGCCTTCCTCCCGCCTCGCCCTCCGCCTCCGCCCGCGCCTCACTCGCGTCCCCGCGTCCTTCCCACCGCCCCGGAGCCGCCGGCCCCCAGCGCCAGCCAGGTGAGTGTGGCCGCCGCGCGGCCCGGGCGGGGAGAATCGCGCAGGCCCCGGGGCCAGGCGGGGAGCGCGGGCGGGTGGAGGCGGCGGTGGGCCCAGCTTTCTCAGCCCCGCGCGGGCCGCGCGACTGCGGGAGGGGGTCCCCCGCCCCTTCGCAGCCCCCGCCGCCACCGCAGACAAAGCGCCCGAGGTGGGCGTCCCGCGGGCAGCCCTTGCCTCCGCGCCGCCTGCCGGGTGCGGCCGCGGCCCGCCGAGCCTGGGCGGCCCGCGTCTCGCCTCCCGGGCGCCCTTGTTCATTTCTGGGTGAAAGGGACCCGAAACGTGCAACAGGTACGGGCGTTAATCATTATTTTGCGGCGGGTCCGGTCCGCCCGGCGTGCGGGGACCAGATGTGGCGGCCGGCTCCGGGGCGAGTCCCCGCGTCCAGCGCCCGCCGCTGGCTCCTTTGTGTGGCCGGTGACCGGCCCTGGCCGGCGGGTGGGGGACGCCGGCCAGAGACCCCCGGGCCGCAGGAGCCTTCTGGACGGCTTCCTTGGGGCGTGGGGGCTTGGCTTACCCCGGTGTGCGGGCCGGTAACATCCCTCCAGCCTTTGCAGGAGTCACAAAGGGAAGGGAGAGAGGGTTGGCAGGGGTATCTGGATGTGTATTTATTTTTATATCTGAGGTAGACTTGTATTGGAAAGGAACCGCAGTCTGGCAGGCTCTTGAGGCTTTCTGTGGCATTTCACCCCGCGATGCACCATTTGGACATGGCAGCTGCTGCGACTCCACGGTGGTTCTCCTCTTGGTGCTTTGACATCTTTCTTAAACAGACATCACCTGAGAAGTTGGAAATGCTGTTGAGTGAGGAACTCGATACAGCTGTTTGACAGGTCTTCCGTCTCTCCACGTTTTGTCTGTGCCAAGGAAACCCACCGTGTATGCTAGCATAGGTTGGCAAGCCCTCAAATTAAGATCACCGCTCAAAAATACCCCCATGTTGGGAAATATTAACCCGTATGGTTTACTTTGGCTTGATGAACCTTATTTTCTTAGCTGTGAGAAACTTCTTTTTTTATCCCCCAAAGAAAGAATACAAAATAAAGAACAATTTATCTTTGTTTACATACCTTGGGTCGTGCTGTTACCTAGCTGGTTTCATTGGTATGCTATTTTAGTATAACAATACTAAATGGAAGGAAAATATCTTCCTTTTGCTTTGAGCAATAAAATACTTCTTTGTTCTTAGAACCAGGAAGCTTTTATACATAATACTTTGTGGGGCCAAAAGTTAGTGACTGTCTTAACCCCGTGACCAAATTCATGAAAAAACACCCAATCGTGAAAAAATACTCAAAGGACTTAGAAAGCATTTCCCAGCTCTATAGATTGTTTTTATATTCCAAATTCCAGGATATCATTTTGTTGTATATTTATTCAAACAAGCTAGACTAAATTTAACCTTAAAAATTGGGCCTACTCTGTAAATTCCCCAGCATTAGGAAATGAATTGACTGCATTTAAAGAATTTACCAAGTATTTTGATCTCTGTGTATAATAGTTGGCAGGAGCTGGTGATGGTCTTAGAAATGTGACAGCAGAATGCAGAACATGGAAACAGGTAGATCAAGCTTACGAAGTTCCATCTACTTCGGTTTTAGTGAATTGATGGTTATATCTGAAAACTAAATGTCCACTAATTTAAAAACAAAATGCTACATTTTGACCTATTTTTAAAAATGTACTCTAAAAGATTCCTTGACACTGTCTCTACTCCCTAAAAACAAATGATACTAATAAGGACTTTTCTTTTGAAGAAATAAACTAATACCAAATTAATCTGATCTGTAGAAAGTTTTTCTGACATAATTGGTAGTTTCTCTTTACTAAAAATACCATTCATCTGTGTAACATCTAACTTCAAAGAACTTTCATAGCTGTTACAAGCAACAGGAATTACCTCCTGAAAAAAGTAATGTCTTTACTATTAAAAAGTAGGAGAAACTTAAATTTCTACAATAGTTTTATTAAAATATAATTCATATACTGTAGAATTCACTCTTTTAACATGTACAATGTAGTGAAAGTGAAGTCGCTCAGTTGTGTCCAACTCTTTGTGACCCCATGAACTGTAGCCTACCAGGCTCCTCTGTCCATGGGATTTTCCAGGCAGAAGTACTGGAGTGGAGTGGTTTTTGTTTATTCACAAGGTACTGCAGACATCATCACTAATTCAAGGAGCATTTTCCATATCCTAAAAGGAAACCCTCATACCATTAACTGCCACTCCCATTCTCCCTCATTGACACTTGGCAGGCACCAGTCTATTTTCTGTCTCTCTGGATTTGCTGATTTAGGACATTTCCTATAAATGGAATCATACCATATCTGGCCTTTTGTGTCTTTCACTAAGTGTAGTGTTTCCAGAGTTCATGTATAATGCATGTATTAAGATATTTCCTTTTTATGGCTGAATAATATTCCACTGTATGGATATGCCATGTTTTGTTTATCTGTTCATCACTGATGGAAATTTAGGTTGTTTCCACTTTTTGGCTATTATGAGGAACATTGCTATGACGGTTCATTTTCAGGTTTTTTGTGGACTTACGTTTTCAGTGATCTTGAGTATATACTTAGATGTGGAGTTGCTTGGTCCTAAGGTAACTCTTAACTATTTGAGGAACTGCCAAATTATTTTCTGTAGTGACTGCATTTTACATTCCCATCATTAGAGTATGAGGGTTACACTTTCTCCAGCCTCGTTAAAGTTGTGTTTTTGATGATAACTATTCCAGTGTGTGTGAGGTGGTATCTTACCACTGGTTTTCGTCTGCATTTCTGTAATGGCTAATGATGTTGAGCATCTTTAAGTTCTTATTGGCCATTTATATATCTTCTTTGGAGAAAAATGTTTGATTTATAATTTTTCAGTTTATGTTTTCACATGTGTTTTTCTCATGTAGTCTTTGAACTAACCCAGTTAAATATGTTTACTCCTATTTTGCTGCTAGGACACTGAGGTTTAAAGAGGTTAACTAATTTGTTCATTTTTTTAACCTTATGGAGTTAATAAGAGTCAAAGTCTGAATGTAAACTCAGATCTTCTGACTCTGCTTCCTGCATTCTTTCCACTTTATGAGGCATACAGAAGTTAAATTGTGTTTGCAGCTTTGCTTGGTTAATCATCGACAGAGTAGGGGTAAAATAAATAAATGAATGAAACCAAACAACAACAAAAAGCAGGTGTTGTGTCCACACTGCCTCACGTTCTCCAGATTTTGTTGTGCTTTTTCAAATAAATTCTTTGATTTCTCCTATTCTAATAAGGTAGACGTCATTTCCATATTTTCTTTGGGGAAGCAAACCTAAAAACAGCTTCTTAGTGGCAGTGCTAATCCTAGAACTTGTTCACTGAGACATTGCACTTTCTGTTCCCCTGGAGCTTCCATGTTCTTTATTTTCCCACTAATTTATACCCTTGAACCATAGAGTAATTGGATAATTTCACAGTTTTCATAAACATTAAGTTATTTCTAGGTTACACTGAAATTTTTATTTTTGAACAGGGCAGTTTGCCAGATTCACTTTGAAGTGTAGGATTACTAAGGTGTGCATTTCAGTTTTTGTGTGTTAGTTACTCTGAAATTCTTGTCTCCCTAGAGGATAGGTAGAGGCCATGTGTTATTTGTCTTTGCTTTCCCATTGTCTGCCATTGTGCCCAGATATGTAAGAAGGACTCTAATCTTTTTTGGGTGAATGAATACAAATATATTTTTTCCATTTGCCCCCCGCAAAAAATCCAATAAAAGTCATTCTTAGAATAAAGGCAGTACAAATTCTAGACAAAGAATTTCTTATCCCTCGCTTATGACCTGAAAAGTAATACATGATAATTAAAACTTGACTTAAAACAGCATTATCTGATGGAAGAAAGTAAATGTTCAATGCTGGGCTTAAAAAAATTTAAGGTATCTGGACACCTTAAGGTAAGGTATCATTACATTACCTTACCTTAAGGATAATTTAAGGTATCAGGTATCTGGAGGCTGGCACAAAAACCCCGTGTATGTGCTCCGTGTCCACACATAGGGTTATACCTTGAGTGTGTGTTAGATAAATGAATGCCCAGTGAGTGAATAATTAGTTTTGACTGTGATAGCTAGAGGAGAGATATCAAATGGCTATCAGGTCCTGTTTTTCATTTGTATATTTTAATTGTCAAATATGATACATGTTAATTATAAAAAGTTCAAATAATATAGAGGAGTATAGAGTAAAGGCCTTTCCTGGTGGCTCAAATGGTAAAGAATCCACTGCAGTGTGGGAGACCTGGGTTCAATTCCTGGATGGGGACGATCTCCTGGAGGCAATCTTGCCTGGAGAATCTCATGGACAGAGGAGCCTGGGGAACTGTAGTCAGTCCATGCGGTCAGAGTCTGACATGACTGAGCACCTAAGCACATGTAGAGTAAAAGGCAAAAATGTCACTTCACTGTTCGCCCCCATCCCTTCGTTCCCCCCCCCAAGACTGCTCCTGTCCCAGGTCACCTTGTTAGCAGTTTGGGGTTTATATTTCCAAATGTACATCTTTGCGTTTATGTCTGTTTGTATGTGCAAACACCCATTTACATAGCCAGCCATACTTAGTACATACATGTGTATTCAGTGGTTTTTCTTCTACACAAGAGCTCATACTACACTTATTTGTTTTTCACTCAACTTGTTAAAGACATATTCATATGTGATCACAAAAGATAAACATAATATTTATGTTTCACTTTTAGTTTGCTATTCTTGACTCGTTTGGTGTCAAGATTAAGCTAGTCTCTGAGAATGAATTGGGAAACTTTTTTTTCCTCTAAGCTCTGGAATATTTGAAACTGCCCTATAAACATTTATTGACAATCACCTAACAATCTTGCAGTGAGGGAAGAGAGCTCTAGGACAATCTTTCTGTGATTTTTTCCTGTTTTTATTGTTTTATCAGGTTTTGGCCCTTATTTTCTGTTCCATTTTTGGTTAAAAAAGTCCTCCCCCCAGCTCTGATGAGTAAATTGACAAAAGCAAAAGCAAATGATTACATGAATCATCGCATGCAGGAGTATGTGTGGTTTTTTTTTAGAAGGATCCAAGGTAGAGTCCTGCTGTTAGTAATTGTATAACCTAAGCAAGTTACTTACCTTTTTAAAACTTGTTTCTTTATCTGTAAAATGGTGATAATCCCTATATCACAGAAATCTTAGAAGTATTAAATGAGATGTGAGCTAATATGTGAAAAATCTCAGTGGTTGGATCCAATAAGAATGAAAAAATTTATAATACTAACTATAGCATGCTATACAAATGTAAATTTGTCACTGTGGTTATTATAAATTGTTTTAGCCTAATACAGATATATTTAAGGAGAATAGATGGTGGTTCTAGAGACAATTTCCACTAACACATTGGAAGGATCTATAAGAATTTCCAGGCCATTTAGAATTTAATTTTGGTAGACAGTTATTTCTCAACACTTGTATGCTTTTGAGGCAGGACAGTAGGAGAAAGTAGTAGACTAAATAGACCTGGATTAATTTTGTATTATCACATGTGACTTTGATAAGTTAATTTCTCTCAGTAAAATTGGATGAATGTACCTACTTTGCAGGGTAGTCATGAAGAAAGAGGTTAAGATCGTGCTTGGCATCTAATAGATGTACAACTGGTTGGTTTTTTCTTTGCATGTAATGAGTGCCCAACAG